GACGTTTTTTTGTTTACACAGGGTTTCAGAAAAGGAAGCTGGCACTCATTTTACACTTTGTTATGCTAATTTTCTTGGAAAGAAATCATAACAAACCTTTCGTTGATACCGAAATTACAAAAGTAATTTCGAGGTCGGTGTTACCTCCAAGATGGTACCTATCAACGGGACCTATTTTTCCTCTTTGGTGATTGCCAACGACTTGACAAAGGAATATTTTTTATGTTAACACGAATGAATGCACGGGGTAGCCATAGCCAACTCTGTATTTGCTGTAATTACTAACCTACTACTCAGCAGCCTACGGGCTCAGCATACAGCTTGTTAGGTTGTTTTCAGTCCTTTTATTCTACTTGCTTGTTCACTGATGTTTCTTGAATACATGAAGTGATCGTTTTATTTGTTATACATTATTTTGATATCATCGAGCAAAGCCAATTTGTTTTATTCCTGTTATCTAAATCTTAGAATTTTATTTTATTAAGTGTAATGAAATATCGTATTGGTGACAAAGTGTGCAATCCAGGGATTGAATCCATTGTGAAACGCAACCAGTTATCTTTTGTGGCCGACACACTAAGGAATTATTCTGTTGTGCATGAAATTAAATAATTCACACTTGTTGTCGACCTAAAAACAATAAAGCTTCAAACGGAAGATCATGCACTTAGAAAACCAGCAGGTAATGAATGTACGATTCAGAAGAGAGACATTTGCAACGTACTTTAATCATAAATAATTATTAGCCAGGCGGCAATACACTAATCAGGCAATTTACTTTATATCAAGATGAAACATTTTTTAAATTGCATTCGAAATGTGGTTAAGACGAACAAACCCCCTCTCTCGTTCCTTTTTTTTTAATTCTTATCTATTTTAATACGTTTTGAATTTTTAGCAACCATAGTAATATTAAGACTTTTAGGGTTAGTTTTAATTTTTTATGATGTCAAGCGCACTTGATCATTTCGTGGAAAGTCGCGCTATAAGACATTTATGATATATTTTTTTTCCTCATAAGAATGTCTGAATGACTCTGAGATTCTGCTGGTGACATAGATCTAGAGACATGCTTCCACTGTTTGAGATTGGGACAGATTAGCTGTTTTAAGTTTTCATAATCCCATATTTTCACTGGCAACTCCTAGCACGGGTTATATCTATACAATGACCAATGGTATTTTCAGCACCTTAATTAATGTTACTGGCTAGATCAACTATAATTTTTGTTTGATTTGATTTTCTTCTCTATCGGCAGATAATTTCTCAACAAGGAATTCTAGTTAAGAAAATACTCTTTTTACTCGCGGTAACCAGTTTATTTTGTCCTGCTAAGTAATGAATAACCGAACGGAACAGAACAAGGACAGTCGGTGATGAATCTCAAATCACTCGCTTTACTCAGTGGGAAATGCTTGGAAGAGCAAAAAAATATTGTTCAAAAAGCATTAGTCTGATATAGGCAAACTAGGCCAGGGACTGAGTTCTTGTGATTGCACAATAACAAGCTGATGACTTAAAATCTCAATTGCTCGGATCCCATCAGTTAGGATTATTATCCATTGTTTATTTTAGTGGTCAAAGTATTCTCCAGGTCCCCTCTTAGAATCGTAGCATCAATTCTTGACACAAGACCAACAGATCCTTCTACATCGAGAGCAAATGCACTGTGATAATATTTATCATAGTCCACATTGTCTTTCATCCTCCTTCAGATCCGACCAGAGTCTTAAGTTGTTACTGATCATTAACATGATACTGGATCCTATTTCTAGTGAGAAAATTCACAACATATCTCTTTCCCCATTCCCATCGCTCTCGAAATGCAGACTGGCTAGTAGGCTAAACGGATGAATTCCACTAACACTCGCCTGTACTTTCTGCTCGATAGAACATAAATCCAAGGGTTTACAAACGAATTTGCAAGTGCAAGCGCCACGGTGAAGTCTCGAAAGGGAGTGCCAAAGTTTAGAATGGGGAAACCATACTGATTCAGAACGTAGGAGACTTCTGTGGGAAACCAACACACTGTCAGCGTTGCGGATGTGATTGCACACATTCTATGTAACAGACGTTTTTCTATTTTACCTCGATTTTGTCGTAGGACGCTTAACTTGTTTATTCTAACAAATATGTGAAGGAAGGCGGCCCAAGTAATGGCCGTAGGAAGGAAATATGTGAACGAAACATAGAGAATAATAACTGCAGTCTCCACGCTTTTCTCGAGAGGCAAAGAAATGAAGTAACATGAATGCTGAAAATATCTCACGTAAAATAGCTTATAACATTGCAGGCCAAGGCAAATAAGCCAAATACATCCAATGTATTTGTAGAGTTTCCGCTGAGAGAAGGTCGTTTGATAATTCCAAGGTTTAATAAGAACATACCACCGTTCAACAGCAAGACATGCGATGGTCAGGACAGAGCCTTTCCCAAATGTAAAAATGAAGAACTTAGAAAATAACACTCGGCAGAAGATCTCGCCCGCCATACCTCCTGGTACTTGATACGAGGACATATTTATGACGTAGTTTGGGGTAATAATTATAAATAGACCTGAAAGATAAAGGAGATGGCGATTATGCAAAGTTTCGTTGAGATCTTAAGTAAACAGATTACGCTCACGATGTTCAAAATTAACTTTAAAATTAAATGACATTGGGAAGATCTATCGGATTAATAGAAACGGAGTTGAAAAAAGTTGACTATGTTTGTCAAAAAGGCCATTCCTACCCTGTTTTCTTTACTCCTTTATAACTCTGGTTTCCGAAACATAAGGTAACTACAAGAAGCGCAAGTCTCTTTCGAAGAGAAACCCCGGCTCAGCATGCTGCTAGATGCTCTACGAATTAACCGGGTCCTACAGGACTGTTCATAACATTGACTATTTCTGGATTATCTTTTCTTACCCGTGAGCGTATCAGCGATAGCTAAGCTGTATATCAGTAAGTCGTGAGGGGTCTTAAGATTCTTTCGGTTTCTTTTCATTGCCAAACAAAACACCAAGTTACTGGTGAAAGCGAGCACTGAAATTATACCGTAAACCATATTAAAAATGGTTCCTCCCTCGGCGATTCCTTTATCCTTGCTTGACATGCAATATCTGTCGGTGTGGTTGTTGTCGTGAACAGAAAGTGTATAGTTTGACATTTTGCTGAACTTCCCTCTTCTGCCATGAAAGATACTTTCCTTTTTCACTAAATATATTAAATGCGCATAATGAAAGGCATGTATTTAAAGGAGTGAGGTAATTTTCATTATAGACGCACAACACGACAAAAATCAATGTAAAACCGGTGGGTTGAAGCTAGTAAACAGGAACTGCAAGACACATTATTCAATGTAAGAACTAAAAGGCCATTGACGTATGTAACACACTTGTAACAATATTTGGTTAATATGTCTGGTATTGCACATATCGGAGATAACATCTACAGGGTGCTTCTGATATTTTTACAGTTCAGTGCACTCTTCATCTCTTAACTCTTTATGTTACTGGCAGGATTTTTCTACTTAGAAAATGAATACGTGATGAACATCAATTGTTAAATTCTTTACGTAACATAGTTAACATAAACAACGCTTATTTCATGATTCATTTGAATATCAACTTTTGATAATGTCATTTAAATCTCCTTTTATTTTTAATAGAAAAAGTGAGCTAACTAATTTGTGAATCGTGGCTGGTAACTGTAAAATTAAATTTACATTTTGCATTGAAGCTTTAAGAATAGTTAATCTTTTAGCTCAAGTGCTGTGGCTCAAAGTTTTGCAATAGTGACAAATTGTAATTTTCAAAGCGTCAATAGCACTATAATTGATTTCAATACGCTCTTTTAATTTTGAGAGAGAAAGTAAACGGAAGCGCTAAAACCAAAACAAAAACAGCCGTCTCACTTGGACTATTAAAAAATGGGAAAATATTTCAAAGGAAAAAAATCTGTAGATTCAGAAACTTTAACAAATATTTGAAAGTTCAAACTTTGAAACTTTTTCTTTCGAAAATTTAAGGTGGCTCTGAACACCATGCACAGAATTTTGAAAGAAGTTGCCTCTTATCCTGCTTATAAAAATTTGATAATGCGATGATTGCAACGTGATAAAGGGTGGCTATAATCATTAATCGAAATCCAAGTCTTGGAAAGTGCTGGAAACTGTTGCAGCCACGTTTAAATTTCTCTGGTATTGTCAGTCTATGATTTCTTCGATCTGTGGTTAATTCTCTTGCCATTATGGGGCTATCTGAGTGCTACTTTCAGAATAATAGCTGCCGAGAGGAATCTCTCCATGAAAGAACACGAATGAACATTGTTATATGCTCGCTTCAGCCCGCCTTGAGACCACTCGATCACTTAGCACCTCTTCTGTTTGACTGGCTTCAGAGCAAGCGGTGTTGCTCAAATAAGTCTCGGCCGACAAGCTTAAACTTGAGTCCTCTGGCGCCCGACGTACTCTAAGAACATATGGACCATCAACCAGATTGCCAGTTGAGCGTCTTTGGTCAGGATCACCTGAAAATGAATATCTTAATTTCCTGTTTGGCACCAAACCAAAGCACAAACTACCGATTCTGGAGTTTGTCATGTTAAATTTCACGCAGCAGAGAAGTCGGACAAATTCTCTTCTGTATTCCCTGTTACTGAGGCAATAAATCCACGGATTGAAGCAGGAGTTAGACATTGCCAAAATACTTGTAAATAAGTAGAATTCAAAAGGAAGCTTCAAAATGTCAAACTTATACAGGATGAAAAAAGTTTCCGCTGGAAACCAAGATAATGTTAAGAAGAAGGCTGCCAAGGCGCACATGCGCAATAGGCGTTTGGTGGCTTTGTTGTTGTTCAGATGACGACGAATGTTAGGCTGGCGCATGTGCGTCCAGATTTGTCCAAAGGTCACCCAGGTAACGATACTTGGTATGTAGAACGTGACGATCACGTGAATTAGAATAAGGATCCGTTCAGCCTTTTCTCCATAAAATGGCGTGACGAATGTGCAAAGGCCATCTTCTACTGCAGTGATAAAGAGTTCATTGATCTGAGTTATGGCGGCAGAGGCCCAGATCAAAGTAATGTAAAGATACAAACGTCGTTTGCTGAAGGCTGTTTTGTAGCGTATCGGCTTTACAATCGAGTACCAACGATCTATAGCCAGGCACATGATCGTGGAAGTTGAAGCTTTGCCAAAAATGAAAAGGATGTAGGTTGAGCCAATTAAACGACAGTAAATCTCTCCTGCCAGCCCGTGGGGGTAAGGGAAGGTTTTTCTGTCGATTACGTAATCTGGTGTGACAACAAGGAATATTCCTGTTAAATTTAAGAAAGGAAAAAAATAATTATTTTATTTTCAGACATAACTTTTCACTGTTAGTCATAAAAGAAGCAAATAAAAATAATAATTTAAGCTGTTAACCTTTCTGATCAATGTTCTCAGTTGTCTAAAGTGTTGTTTTCCGACAAAGTCATTGATAGTCCATTATAACTTATAATTTGGGGAGCAGGAATGGCGCAGTGGTGAGAGCGTTCGCCTCCCGCCAATGTAGCCCTGGTTCGATTCCGGCCCGGTGCCATACGTGAGTTGAGTTTGTTGTTGGTTCTCGCCTTGCTCCGAGGGTTTATTTCGGGTTCTCCGGTTTTCCTCCCTATACAAAAGCTAACATCTCTAAATTCCAATTCGACCAGGATAGAGGACCTGCATGAAAACCAGCTAGGGCCGATGTGGCTTCCTCTCTAAATATAATATTGTAAGTGTTCCTAAAAAGCTGAAAGCACCCAATGTGGATATCCATGGGCACGGCGGAAAAACCGCTGATTGGCTGAGAAATCCGTTGTCTTAGAGCATGCGCATGAGCAGCGGTTTTTCCGCGGTGCCGATATCCATCATTTTCTAGGTGTTTGTATTCATCACATATGCCGTCGTATAGTGTATTCACCTGCAAAGGTGGAGGACTGAACAAATTTTCAGGTCTACAAAGCTAACAGATATATGTCATATGGTAAAATAGAGAAGACAAGCAAAATGATGTTTTTTTGTGGTAAAGTTTGAACGTTTGATCTACAAAAAGGAAACAATGCCATCGATAAACCATTACAACTTATGATTTTTTACAAAGAATAGGATTACAATTTCCACTCTCAACCGTGTTTATCATTGGTGCTGAAACGGAAGTTCAAGTAATTATCGTACAATCTCACACAGCATACCTGTGAGCATGTCAGTAACAGCCAAGCTACCAATAAGAATGTTATATGCCTTTTTTAACATCGACCGCTTCATAAATATCACCAAACAAAGAAGCAAGTTGCCAAAAAATGAAAGGCTGGCAATAATTCCAAACGACGTTTTCATCACTACTCCGTAGTCCTTGGCTTCAACAGAAATATGGCTTGAATCATTATGAAGAGTAATGTTATCTCCACAGTAAAGTGCATTTGTTGAGTTGTTCATCATTCTCAATTTCGTCTCAGCAAAAGGTAATTCAATTTGTCTTGAGGATGCTTCGTACTAAACGTCGTTTTAGAGTCGGTAGGCAAACACGTCTTCAGTGCCTTATGAATATGAAGGTGCCAGCTATTTGCAAGCTTTGCTATGATTTGTTCAGGCGAACTTTGCTTTGGCACTTGTCAAAAATCATGATAAAGATCTGTTCAGTATTGTACATAAAGTTAAAGAAATGACAAAAATCTGTCTACACTATAGCTCTAGAGCTTGTGACCAAAGACGAAAAAATAATATTTACATTTGGAAGACAACTTCTCACGATAAAACTTTTATTGATGTGTAATGAGAGAAAAGCTGGAAAAAAGCTTTGTTCAATGTGTAACGAGAGGAAATAAAATCAAAATTTTACGTACGCGTCAAACGAAGTGAACATATTTTTGCAGGCAAACTGAATATAACTTTTGGGTTGAAATTAAATATAACCTTGGCAAGATACTATAAAAGAAAATTTCATTAGGAAACAATTGACTTTTTTCCAATATCTTAACTCTGTACCAGTGAATCATTTTAATATATAAAACATTGGTTCATCCCAAATACTCTGACGACGAAACCCTAAAGTGATGCGGCTTTTGTAAAGGATTACTGAATCTGTTTGAAATAATATTGTAACACTGATGGATTCAAACTCCAGTGACACATCAGATGTAATTTATGTGGCAAATCGGAGTTTCCCAGCAACGTCGATTCCACACAAAAATAAATATGTCATCCATTATCTAAAAGAATTGCGTTACAATGACAGTTTTGTCAAGTTTCTATATCCTCCACAATTATTGGTATTCCTCTAGAAACCATAACGTGTACATAAAGATAGTAAAATCCAGACTGCCAATTCAGAAATAATTTCTTTAGCCAATTCCGTATCTAAGATATATTGCCGGCCTGTTTTATCCTAAACCACAGGAGTACAACACTTATTGCAATACTTCACAATAACAAAATAGAATCCCGATTTCTCAAACCCTCATTTTTTCGAACTTCCCGACAACTCGAACCAAAAGTAGTTTCCCCTCCTCGGTCGAACACTGTAATTTTAACCCCGATTTCTCGAACTATCCGATTTTTTCGAACCAATTTTCGTTTCCCTTGTTGGTTCGAAAAATCGGGATTCCACTATATGTTTTTTAAATTTTTTAATTTCGATCGTGCGTCATGTTTACAGACGCAGTGACGTTAACTAAGTTAAAATAAAACTGAATATGATGAACTCAACTGTACAATACAGCAAAATGAATAACTTACAGTAGCACATAAATAATCGCATCACTACTGAGTTTCGCTTACAAGGCTAGCAATAGATTCAAGCTACCCCTTTGAGTTAATCTGAGTGTGTTGTGTTTAAAGCCGTGTTCATTTGGTTTTCCCTAAAGCAATTTTACCAGATTGTTATCTAGTTCAAACTTCTATTTCTCAAAAGAAATAATCCAAGTTATTGTTAAATGTAATTGTTACTTTATCGAAACAGGGTAGTTTAAATTATGAATTAATCGAAAGAATTACAAATTAATTTCAAGATTTGGTTTGGTTTGTCGATTTATTCTTTTGTAACTGAGTGTTATGTTTTGGTCCTTTTGGCAAAGTAATTTTGTATAGTATTGAAGCAATCTGAAAACCAACTAAACTATAAAGTTATATTAAAGTAATTTTGCAATCATATTATTAACTAACCCTAACCCAAACAGTTGCCGATTTGGAGGCCTTGCTTAATACCAAAAAAAATATATATCATCAAGTAATCCATGTAGTCAGTTACAGCAACATACAGACACACGTACACGAAACAAACCTGTTAACATATCTGTGATAGCAAGGTTCAAAACGAGCAGGTTGTAAGTCTTTAGTAACAATTGACGTCGCTTGCAGATAGCCATGCTTAGAAGCAAATTACCCACGAAAGAAAGAGCTGCAATGCTCCCAAACAAAAATTTAAAAGCGTCAATTTTGTATTGAT